ATTTTATTTATATCCCGCCTATCTAGTCAGTTACGACCACTGGTTATGGCCTACAAAGTCCTATATGGTTTGGGTCCAGGCTGTCTGAAGGACTGTACCTCCTGATAGGAGCCTTTTCAGCTCTTAAGATTTTCAGGTGAGGTCCTTCTCTCAGTCCCATCACCTTCTCAGGTACTTTTGGTGGGAACACAAGAAACTGCCTTCTCCATGGCTGCTCCCAGGTTGTGGAACATTCTCCCTTGGAAGGATAGATTAGCTCAATCCATCTTGTCCTTCTGGCAACAAGTGAAGACCACCCTTTTAAGACAAGCTTTTAACAATTAACTGGGCACTGAAGGACACTGATTTGGGGAGCTGGGCCTTATTATTTTATGTACATTTTAATGTGTTTTGACTGTTTTAACATTATGGTATGGTTTTTACACAAATACTGTAATTTATTGTGCTTTAGAAATTAAAAAATAATAATTTGTGAGCTGCCTTGGGTACATTAGCTGAGAGAAATCAGCCTAAAATGAAAATAAAATCACTAAATCAGTTTTGTAATACCACCTCTTCAACTGGACCCCCAGATAACAGAAACTGCATCTCTGCTTCCCAGTACATTTTTCTCCCCTGTAACCTTTTTAAAACTGGGATATTGCATCCCCTGTTGGGTAGGTGGCATGCAGACAGTGGTACAAAGAATCCAGAGATTGCAGCAGCAAAACCTCGGGACTCTTTGAGTAACAGGGACTCTGACACGTCTGCCAACTCCTCAGCCTTCTTTGTTCCCTCTGAGCTTAGCAGCCATCCTTATATTAGCTGGGAGATAAATGGATTTTCCTAGAAATTGTGTATTTTTGCAAGCTATCCCTGCTGTAACAAAAAATAGCCAAGAGTGGTTTACTCTTAAATGGCAACTAAAAGCCATTAACTTTATAAAAAGATCTGCTCCTGATTTGTTGGCAAGGGCTGATCCACTTGTTGAACTTTCCTTATGATGAAGGACGTTGGGTATGAGGACTGTCCAGGTGCACACCTGCACTTCCAAATTTACCCCTATACCACTGCAGGCAGACATACAATTGTGGATATAGTGGGTTGCCGTTTCAGCAGAATGTCTTGAACTATTTGTCTTTTCCCCTCTTCCTCACATGTGTGCATATCTTCCCCTGCCTGCCGCTGCCTTTGCTAGCTTCGTTATGCTTACTCCCTGCACAGATGTCCCCTGCTAAAGCATGGAAGCAATCACACTGGCCCCAGGGTGAAATGTGGCAACAGGTATATCACCAATAGTAACAAAACTATGTTTTAAGGATGGGAGGCTATGGACCAAACTAAATTTTCTTTTTTGAATCAGAGGCCCATGACTCCATGAAGCAGAATAAGCAGGGCATCTCTTTCACACAGCAGAATACACTTACCACATTTGGAAATTACACTACAGTTTCTCGTATTAAACATGAAATAACCTATAATACAACATTATTATATACTTTACTTAAAAGGACGATAGGTCAGGGGTAGAGCACATTTTCTGTATGTGGTTCCAGGATCAAACCACAGCATCTCCAAGTAAGGCAAGAAAAGAAAAGGACTAACATCTGCCATTTGAATGGCTTGTTGAATCTCTCAAAGAAATAGTGAAAAACTTTCCCTCACAAAACCAATGTTAATGCTTCCTCAAGGAAGCTTATTTGCTAGAAATATAATCATTCTAGATAGCTCAGTGGTTTAGGCTGCAGGGTCAGAGGTTAGCAGTTCAATTTCCCACAGTGCCTCCTTGACAGGGGCTGGACTCAATAATCCATAGCATCCCTTCCAGCTCTGTGGTTCTAAGATAAGATTCTGAACATTTGCAATTTTTTCAACCACTAATGGGTTTTTAAAAAAATCAAAAGTAAATTCAAGTTAGCTTAGTATCACATATTTTACTTAAAAATATGAGTATCAAATATGAGTTGAAGTGTCTAAAGAAGTGGATTCTATTCCTCACATTTTTGTCTCGAAGATATCACAAGACTATTGTTCTTGCTGTTCATGAGGTGTAGGTCATAGAGCTTCTAATAACTTAGTGAAATGTACCTTTACTATCACTTTCACACCTCTGCCATTTTTTTTTGTACTTCTGTCTTTTGTGCTTTTGATATTTAAACAACCCTTTATCACTAGGCAGGCCTTATTTCATTTACCAGAACCACCAAGTGTTTCACTCAAGAAAGACTCCCATTTTCAAAGAAAACCACTGTGGCTTTTTTACAACCTCCTCAATGTCTTATAATATTTAAACATGCTGGTGTTGTAAAGAGAACTAAAAAGATTCATTTTTTAACAATTTCAGCCTCCAAGGTTTTAAAATAACCTCCTTAACTCCCCCTTTAACTAATCCATTTATTTTCAAACACTTTCCATCTTCACAGTGTTGTCTGAGCTGTTCTGCACTGGAATACACGTGGAATTTGATAAATCTGCCATTTCACTTTTCCAGTAGCTTGAACACTCATATACACATTGCAATAATGTGAAAAGAAGCAGCAAAATCAATTTTTATTAACACTTAAATAAAATGCCCCTTAATGGCAAAGTAGCCTGTATACATGTAGAAGATACATTTTAGAAAGGTACAGCCTTGCTGCTTTTCAAATATTTTTTTAAAAGAAAGTCTAGAATTGAATGAGCACCTCAGACTGTGAAGTGTCCACCTATTTAGTAGTTTGTAACATTACCAGTGATGTAATCTTTCCTATACCCACAATATTTTCTGAAAATATCAGCTAAGAAATATTATGGGTATACGACAGATAATGTCACAAACACCACTGAATAGGCAGATACCTCACAGTCTGTACAGTAGTATTCCCAAGTGCACTGGAAGCTTCAGCTGAGGAAGAAGCCCACATTCCCAACAATAAAAACATCCAGTTTTAAGTATTTAGAAGATCAGATGTATTTGCAGGAGCAGAACTGCCTCACAGGTGCCACCCATATGAGGGTGAACTTGTCACAGAGGCACACTATTGAACCATCCTTGTGCAAATATCTCTGCAATGTTTTGTTTCCTTTAGAAACGGAACTATTGGATAGGATGTTGCAAGCAAAGTCCAGGAATCCAAGAGGCCTGTGTGGCTCTCTAAATCACAGCCACTCCGTTTTACCAATTGACTCATATCTTGACTGCTGCAGTAAAAGCTGACTCTGGCCAACCCGTCAGAACTGGTGGGAATTTATTCCAAAGGCAGTTAAGAAGGGAGAAGCTTGTTCTCAATGACAGCACTGACGGCTTCCTTCTCCCCCTCACTGATGGATTACAGCCACGCTTATTTTTAACACAGTCCCCTCCACTCGAGAGGGCACATTCATGAGAGGCTGTGCATGCTCACCTCTCACGACAATGCATAAACTGCAGAGGCGTTTCCTACTGGGATTCCTAAACTAGCATGTCAAACTACTTTCTCTGTCATGCAGTGCTGCTAAAAATAAAGTGAGTCGCTCACACACAATATATTGCCAGCGACCCTTCTGCTAGTCTTGTGAAAGATAAAAACATGGCTACTCCTTCAGGAGTTGGAAGATACCATTAAAACAAACCGTGAAATTTGGAGATTCTTTTGAAAAAAGATAAAATGTCTATCATTTGATGAAAAAGCCAAAAAAAAAACAAAAACTTACTGGGTCAATTTAAGCATGTTACTATCTCTGTCTTCCTTTTCTCACAAAGCTAATGTGGAGATAAAGTCAGACCACATGGTATGCTGTCCCAGACTTCTCTCAGAAAAAGTATAACATGGGGAAGAGAAGAGCCATAACCAAGTGCTACAGCATGTACTCTGCAGACAAAAGCATCTGGCTCAATCCAGATGCCATTACAAAGATCTGATGGAGGAAACATGTATGTGTATGATCCTGAACTACATGGGGGGAAAAAAGGTGATGCAGCCTGAGACAGTTTCTTGTGTACATATACTAATCTTACTCTTACAGATAAAAAGGTAAAAAGTGTAGTGGGCTAGTGCAGTGGTCCCCAACCTTGGGCCTCCAGATGTTCTTGGACTTCAACTCCCAGAAATCCTGGTCAGCAGAGGTGGTGGTGAAGGCTTCTGGGAGTTGTAGTCCAAAAACATCTGGAGGCCCAATGTTGGGGACCACTGGGCTAGTAGACTAGGATTAAGGCAATGTAGAACTGGGTTCTTCTCATGGCCATTTAACCATTTAGCTCACTGGCTGACCTTAAGCCAGTCACATTCTCTCCACCTGATCCACTTTACAGGGCTGTTAGGAAGATGAAGTACAAAGGCAAGAAGCCATTAACAGCCTTGTGCTCCTTGAAGGAAAAGTGTGATATAAACATCACTAAGGCAGAAACAGACCACAAATAAGCAGTTTAATTCACCCTGCTTTAAAAGATGGTAGCCACAGCTGCAATAGGCTTTTAGCTAAAGCACATTCTCATCATTGGATGGCGCTGCAGGCAGCCTTGATAGAATCCTCCAAAGTGGTTTACCATTCCCTTCTTCTGGGGGCAATCCAGGATGATGCAGGTTGCTGAATGTTACAAAGGCTGGCTCTTCTCCTGCAAGGCACAATGGGCGATCAAACTCCTAATCTCTGTTTCTGCAGCCAGATATCAAACACACTGAGTATCCAGTCAGTAGTCTTGGCATATCATACTGTATTGCCTTTCCAAGAGGCCTGACAATAATTCCTGTTTTTCTGGGCCTTAGCTTTCACATTTGCCTGCCTGCTCCAGTGGGATTACCCCTACTCCTAGCTATGTAATCAGATGCCAACTATCTGAGAAAATGAATTTTCAATCTTTTCATGTCTAAAAAGAGAAGCCCAAATGAATTATTCTACAATAATCTGAATCACAGTAATTTTAAGACTGGCATATAAATAAAACAGTCCAGAACATTTTTGAATAATAAACAGTCTTCACTTATTCTGATCACACTGAAAATAGCAGAGAATTAGTATGATTTGGTTTTTGTGTGATTTTATTAAAAATAATTACTACTTGCCTTTGGTCAATGCCTGTGGAGGAATTTCTGACATGTCCACTCGTAAAAGCAAGTACTGTTGGGCTTTCATGAGAAGACCAGGAAAGTCCTTTTCAATAGAAGCAAACTGCTCAATTTTGTTCTTCACAGATGCCAGCACCTGTCAGAATAATAGCAGTAGTAAATCTTCACATTGCCATTTCAGCTATGAACACATCTATTTGTGTAGTGCTATAGTACCCAACGACTGCTATAATACCCAAACTCTAAACAATCCATTTTAATGTATCTGTTTCAAAGCATGTGTCTACAGTACTTACACAAAAAGTCCCAGGGAAAGTAATTGCAGATCTGTTTTGCAAAGGGATGGAGGTTAACTACTGCACTCTAATGAACCTTCATTAGAAAAAAACATGTACGCTTTCTCATAGCAACCCTGGAAATACTGAAGTAAAGCTCCAAAGAGTTTGTACCAAATTAGGAAAGAAAACCAAACAGAAAACAACAAACTGGCAATAAAGTAAATTGCATTTGCTTGCATTCATCTATATTACTCTTTGGGGTCTACATTTACACTGTAAGCTCCTTTGGGATAAGGATCTTTCTTTTGCTTATGTCACCCTGCAGAGTGGAATGCAGCCTGATGGCCTATATAGATAATAAATATAAAGAGCATAAAGAACAAAAATGTATTATAGTTACAACAACACGGAGACCTGTTGGGATTCATCTCAGACAATAACGACATACCTGGTATAACGATCGCACACTAGGCTGAAATACCATATTCGTATTGAGTAGAAAGGAACGAAGGAGGGGTTGTGGGTAACTGGCCAGATGAGTTATGATACCAATAAGCAGCAAATTCACATGCAAGGAGTTTTCCAACATGTTTTCCAGCTTTGATAGCACCACACTAATAAATGGTCCTGCAGATGTAAAACATGCACACTCAACTAGTTGTTAAAACATATGACCACAGATGAGAAGGCAACCATCATATTAGGAAAGCAAGCATTAAGAACTGTTTGTAGTCCTATGGTCCATTTGTGCTCAACATGGGGTGGGAGAACAGGACCAAGAGCTCTGGGCTTGCTGCAGTGCATCCTAGACCCGCTGCCCTTTAGTAAATTGGCAAATATAACATTCATTCATTCATTCATTCACTCACTCATTCATTCATTCATTCATTATAGCTTTACCCTGCCTTTCTCCTTAAAAGGACCAGGGCGGCTTACAACATTAAAAGGACAATGTTTTAAAGCTAAAAACAGTGAATATACAAATATTTAAAAAGAATTAAAAAAGTATAATATTAGAACGGTAAATAAAATCAATACTAAAACACATTTAAAAGCAACAGAGCACAGCAATCCAATTTTAATTTTTTTTTAAAAAAAACCCTCAGGCTGCCAGTCACTAAGGAAAAGCCTGAAGAAAAAGGTCTTTGCCTGCTTGCAGAAGAATAGCAAAGATGGGGCCAGCAAGGCTTCCTGTGGGAGAGCATTCCAGAGTCTGGGAGCAGTAACAGAGAAGGCTCTGTCCTGTGTACTCAACAAGCATGTCTGTGAGTGTGGTGGGACTGAGAGAAAGAACTCCACCGATGATCTAATGCTTGGGCAGGCTCATAGGTGGAGATGCAGTCTTTTAGATAGTTTGGACCCAAGCTGTTTAGAGCTTTATAGATTAAAACCAGCACTTTGAATTATGCCTGGAAATAGATCGGTGTTCAGTTGAGCTGTTGTAAGAGGGGAGTTATATGCTTCTTCTAACCTGCACCAGTTAACAATCCGGCTCAGCATTTTGAATGCAAAGTAGTCTTGGGAAAAGCAGACCTAGGCAGGGGCTATTGTTTTCCAAGCCATGTATGCTTCAGGTAAGGAAAACAAGTAGGCGAAGCTCACTGTTCATAAAAGGAAGGGGGAAAGTTCTCCCTTTCATGGAGACCTATGTTGCTTCTAGAAGCGCTATCATGCCAGCCCAAGAAAGGAGTGAGAGCAAAGGACAAGAAGAGAAACTTATTTTTACAGATTAACATCTGAGCTGGAGAAGAATTGGAGTGTAAAACCTGAGTCTTCATCAGATGCGAATATTGTATGCTACTTAAAGAAGTGCTTATTGTCAAACAGGAGGCAAGAAAGGATATTCTGTAACGTCGCTAAAGGAAGCAACACAACTGCTACCTGCACCTGGGTTTTTAAAAAAATTAGAGTCACAAGTGTGTGTGTGCGTGCCCACTGACGCAACACTGTTCTACACCAGACCTGGGCATAGTCCAGGCCCTCTGATATTGTGGGACCACAATTCTCAGCATTCAGTATTAGCTGAACCACTAAAACTTGACAGAAACTGCAGTCTGTCAACATCTGATGGGCTGCCTTTTGCCCACCTCTGCTCTTGACATAGAGGTCTTACGCCTCACCCGACAGCATAACTACCACTAGCATAACTGCTACCCACACTTTTCCTCTAGTCTCCTCATCAGTGATTACAAAGGCCTTTTAATGTGTGCAAAGCAAAAAAAAAAATGATATTGGTATCACATATTAGCCCCTCCTTGAAATCAGCCATTTTCAATGCACAATGCCTATCACCAAACAGCCAAGTCAGTCTAGTAGTGGGATTAATGCTACCCTTTTTCCTAGAACTTCACTGACTTCTCCTAGGGCACCATCTTCCAGCTGTTACTGCTGTTTTACATTCTCATAAAAGGACCTTCTATGTCCTCCTGCACCATACTTTTTAAATAAATACAATGGTGGCCTTTATTGTTAATGGAATCTGCGAGCAAACAGCAGTACGAGAAACTAAGGAGTACAGGGACAATAGATATTGAATGTTACACTATATTGGAAATACATACAAAATTGTTGAAGGATTCTTGCTGCAGAAAACTTCACTCAAATACATATAAATGGCCCCACCATTACTACGCTAGCTTCAAGTGCCTTGTTAGATAAAAAATCTCAGGTGACATGTAGAGGTTTACAAGCTTTGCAAGAGGAGTAGCAGGAACTAATTAGACCAAAATTAATGATGTTATACAAAACTCACCATGTAGGCACAGACATAAAACTAATTGGGGTCCTATTCATAATAAAAGTTTTATTTGTCACATTACACTCCCATTACTGAAATACTGATTGTGTCCTTGTCAGGGGATGAATGAGCTGAAGCTTGTATCACATAAATTATCAGAAGTCACAGAGGCTCTGTTTCTCAACAAACATAAGGGATTAATGCCACACAAAAGAATTATTTCATTTCCATACTCTCCTTTGGGAAGAAAAGAATCTGGTCCTTTCTTGTTAGGGAAATTTTATTTTAATGCCATACAATAAGGTAAAAACAAATGAACGCCCTAATGAATGTGACTGCAGCCACAAAGGTGGCAAGAGGAACATACAGAGAGAGCATTTCATATGACAAACAGGAGTCTAGATACTGCACAAAAGAAGAATATTTGGAAAAATGGAGTTGCAGAGATTTCTACTTGAAACTTTATTTGGATCAATGCCATACCCAGAACCTTTCAAAAGACTTAACACAACTTTAAGCTTGTGAAAAAGAAGCTAGAGAGAGAACAGCCTTTACGTTTAAACCAAGAAACACGTTCATGCTAGTGCTATAACAAGAGTTAAGGGACACTTGAAAGGGATGGAGATGTGTTCATATTTTGGTCATTTGAAACATCAGTCTTTCTTAATTTGGCTACAGCCAATAGACCTGTGTAGATCTTGGCTTACCAAATCTATCATCAATTGCTGTTGTTCAGAAGCCAAAGTCTATGGCCTTTCAAGCAAGAGAAATCCAATGACTGCATGAAGCTTTCTTTTTAAGCTAATTATATTTTTGTGCTCGCCAGACAGCTGGCACTACTGGAAGGGAAATAATTTCTAGAACAGATTAATAAGTCTGATAGCAAAACGCTTATTCAATTATATCGCCCAACTGAAATGATGGATGGAACTATCAAGTATGTGGTTTTATTTCATATCCTCTTCTTCCCCTATGTTTTCCTTGGTTAATTTCTCTGTTATGCGGTTCCTTACAAGAGCAGAAAACTGATTATTTAATATGATTTTAAATTAGCACAGCATACAAATTGGAAAATTGCTTCAGGTTTGCTTTTTCTGTCATCATGGAGCACATACTTTGACTTTCTAGCCCAGCTGTACCAAGCAGAGGCATTCAGAACAAAATAGGTTTTAAGAGTCACACAGAGAACATGCAGCAATGTTAACCAAGGGAAATACAGCATGCTTACATGACAGCACAGCAAGCAGAAAGGTAAGCAGGACACTGAAACCAAACCGAACTACAATGCAGCAATGCTAGAGCCCTTTCACATTTGTGAACAGGGTGCCTCCATGAGCAGCAAAACAGGGGCAGTGGCATATAAGGGCAACACAGCTGCCATCTAGTGGTCCAAATGGGGAAAAAAAACAAAAGAGGAGAAAGTAGGACACCTGCAACTTCTATTTGACAGCAAATGCACAGCTTTGTGATTGGATTTTTGTTTATTTTTCATATACCCCCTTCCTCAATGCAGAACTTTCATTATTTTTTATTTAAAATAGGTTAATGCATTTAAATAATTTGAAAACCCAACCTGTAAATGGGATGTTTTGGATTCTTGTAGAATTGCCAGACCATGCATCTTTTGTTCCAAAGGGTGAAGGCATGCTTTCTGCTGACGGTGTATCAGCTGAAAAATTTTCAAAGTCCTCTTCTTCTTCCACTGGGGAGACAGCATCAGGGATAAGCAGTTTAAGTTCTACTAATCCTGTAGAGTTAGAATCCAATTCTTTAATGATGTTATCACATTGAGAAATAAAATCCTCATTCTCCGGGCTCAGCAATCTCCCATTAACATTGTGATCCACCTCGGAGGAACATAACGCTGGTTCTATTTCAGGTTGAGGGGCTGTTCTGAAAATGCTGTCATGGACTTCAGCTGTTGTTTTTTCTGTTAACTTTGAATATTTCACATCGCACTCCAGCTGTGAGCTTTTAAGGGGACCATTAGTCGGAAGCACTTGGAGACTGTCTGTATTTTGGGATTCTGCTATTAAAGCTTTCTCCTTTAAGATGTCTGATTCCTGTGTATCCTTTTGGGCACATAACCTATAAACCATAACATCATCCTGAAAGTCTGATTCCTCTATATATGACCCTTTGATCAACATTATTGCATTTTTCTTCATTTCTTGAATGTGCTTTGGTGGTTGTGCAGGAGGTTGTGAATCTCCATTCTGTGAATCATCATCATGTCGAGGTGAACCCATATCAGATCCAGGAGAGATCCCTGTGTCATAGCTATCATCCCATTCCAGTTCAAGTTGGCTCTTTTCCCCAAAGGATGTCACCTGAGAAGAACTACAGTTACTAGGAGTTTTGTACTGGAGTCGGAAAATTGGTTGGTCTAGGTTTTTACCATCCTCCTCGGCCAGAGTTTGTATAAACATAGATGGATCAGGGTTTTCACCATCATATGGAGCAGACCAAACCTCACAATCGTTCATACAGTGGAGTATGAGAGTCTGTGCATCGCAGAGATACTGCAGGTAACTAATATCAACAGTTTTGCCATATTCTACAATACAGGTGGAGTTTGCAATGCTCCCACTGGAAGACTCTTCCAAGGAATCTGAAACGGAATGCCAAAAGCATCACAGTGAAGAGTGTGTCTTTACTTTAGCAAAGGTTACTTACATCTTATATCACATTAATGCAGAGTGATACAAACAGGAAATAAATTTAATAAGCAATGATTAACTGTTTGCTTAGGTCACAGAAAGAATAGTGGTAACCACCTAGACTCTGTAGGCTAGACACTTCCTATTTGCTAAATATTACTGGTAAGTGATATATCCCTATTAGAATTGAGCACAAACCAAACAACAAGTTTGTGGAACCTGTTCTGCTGAAGCAAAATTAAGTGCTGAACTTTTTTTTCCACTTGGTGCTTCATTTTGCCTGCCCACTCCCTTCCTGCTGCCCCCACAGCCTTCCTACCTGGTCCTACCGCTACTACCACCACCTTCAGAGACAAAGGGCCTGGCTTCCCTTCCAGGAGCCAGGCCACTATCTCCGGGCATGCACTCACCTATCAGCTGATAGGCAGCCACATGCACAAGACAGTGAGCCCAGCTTCTGGATGGGTCCACTGTTTCTGAAGATGGTGGCAGTGGCAGAGGAGGCGACAGTGGTGGCAAGACCAGGAATGGAGGCAACAGAGCAGTGGGGAGGCGGCAGGCAGGTAGCAGAGGAAGCAGAAGCGGTAAGTCCCCCATCCAGGCAAGAACCAGAAAAAATAACTACAAACCAGTTTGTTTTTCCAGGTGTTCACAATGGTTCATGGGTAGTTGGTCTTCTGTTTTTTGCCCAATTCTAATCACTATATTTGCTTTTACTAAGTGAAACAGCACTGAGCTGTCAAGGAAAAGAAGGAAAAGAAGAAGTAAAACAGACATTCTCTCTCCACTTCCTCTTTTGTTTCCACCTCTACCTCTTTTTCTTGTTGCCCATCCCCTCTGTGCAGAGAAGGGAAAACCTGTTTCTCTGAAGTGCACAATGTCCTTTATTTTTATGTGTTGCTCTGTAATATATGGCCCTATAGGGTACCTTAAACAAGACGTTTAGTGGCATATCTTTCACCATATAAAGGTATATTTTTTCATTGGTATTCAGTACTACCTCCAGTTGACTGAACTGATAGCCATAAACACAGAAACAATGAGGAGTTAAAGATCATGCCATGGTCGCTAGGAAGGCAATTTCCATCAAATTCCCAATAAATTTGTTCAGCTGACCTATGACCAAGATATCCTGAGATATTTATGATGCCCTTGAAGGAAAAAAATACAAAAGTTTTGGAAACATAGCTTAAGTTTTGTTAGTTTACATAGAGGACACTTCTTTCTATAAGAAAACAACTGCACTTTTGTTGAGCCCCCAAAACAGATTTATTTGCTTTTTGTCTATATTTCATATCCTGTCTCTAGAGCTCATGGGAGACAAAAGTATATAATTTTTAAAATCTTTGTCTACTGCCAGGTTAGTAAGGTAGGTTAGGTTAAAATAGAAGCATTTGCCCAAGGCTACCCGGAGAGATGAATTGCAGAAATGGATTTGTACTTGGGTTTCTCTACATAAAACCCACACTTGACCTGTCTGCCTTTTCTTTAAACTCTCTTCTTTCTTCTGATGAAAAAAATAAACCTTTTAAAAACAACTTTTTATATCCTTCTACTTGCATCATGGGCACACATATATTCATTCTTCAAGCAGGTTCCCCCCCCTTTTTAAAAAACTAGCTATCTATAAAGAGACACAAAGCAGACAAACATTCTGTGTGTTTGTTAAAGAGTAAAATAAATAGGAACTTTACTGTGTGTGTGCATGTGTGCATGCATGTGTATGTACATGCATATGGATGGATGGATTTTGCTTCTAAATGCTAGCATGAGAACAGGGGAAACAGCCTTGTCCAGCTTCCAACACATTGTCCAGCCTGTAAAAATACAGAGCTACTGGATTCTGCAATCCTGCCAGCTTCGAGTTACTGTGCTGAGTGCTGGATCATTGCTCAAAAGGCAGAAAGCATCTCTCTCTATTAATCAGAGAGCTACCCAAAGAAGGGTGTGTGGAGTGAGCCTCCATAATCACATACATAATGCTACAATCAGAGTGGAAACAGATTTCATCCAAGCCATCTATGTCCCATAGATGAAGTGGAAATGGACCTGCCACATAGCACATCTAAGAGACAACAGATGGATCCAAAGAATGAGTATATCCCATGGGACATAAGAGCCTGACTGCCCAAAGCAAAAATGGGACGACCTGCTTGTCAGGCTTCATAAACAAATGCATTGTGTTTGGAATGAGGAAGACCAGAGGGGTGTGGCTATGTGGCCCTGGTGAGAAAGCTCCAGTGAGGTAAATAGTTAAATGTCCTCAAAATTCGTTCTTACAGATACCAGGGACAAGTCCAGATATTGTTAAAAGAATGGATAAAGTATTTATTTAATGGTTGTTGTGGGTTTTTCGGGCTCTTTGGCCATGTTCTGAAGGTTGTTCTTCCTAACGTTTCGCCAGTCTCTGTGGCCGGCATCTTCAGAGGACAGCACTCTGTGCTCTGGTGTAGTTGGAACAGTACACTTTCCCCCATCTGTTTGTTAGTCCTCTGGTCTTCGAGACAATGCATCAGACTGGCAAAACATTAGGAAGAACAACCTTCAGAACATGGCCAAAGAGCCCAAAAAACCCACAACCCCCATTAGATCCCGGCCGTGAAAGCCTTTGCAAATACATATTTATTTAATTTTTTTCCAGAGCTTTTCTATAAAAAGCAAATGGCACAAAGCTGGAAAAATATTAATAAAAATTCTAAAATTAAGTATTCAAAACAAAAAAGAAAGGAAAAAGGAAGGGAAAGGACCAGATATAATAAAAATGGACAGAATCAGGCAATTATAGTATCTTGGCAAACAAGGAAACTTTGAGCTGGTACCAAATGCTGCAATGTTGGCACTGGCCACACATCCAGAAGTAGCCTATTCCAGAGTATGAAAAAAATAGACTCCATAGCCAACACAAATGTATGAAAACAGAAATCAAACTAGTGCACCCTTTCTACATTATTGGGAAAAAAAGGTGCCAAAAGAGATTGTTAGACTTTAGCAGTACTTAAAAACAACATGCCAGTGCTATTGTGTAAGCTCTCTGGGAAGGGTAAATGTGTTAAAATAAAAAATATGCCTTTATACATGGAAAAAGTTTCTTTCTGTTGGGGAAGTTCTGTTTACATCATGCTCTAATGCTCCGTGTGAAAAAGGAAAAAAAAATATATAAATAACTTTAAAGATGATTTCCTACTTGCATCAAAGCTTCTGCAAGCTTGTTGTGCAAGCAGAAACCTAAAGGCTTCAACCAAAATAGTATCTTACTATCACAGTACTGCGGAAATTCTGCATAAATTCTAGCATGTGCACATATGAAAGTGTTCCGACAGCCATCTTACTTCTTTGCATGGTGTTCTTGGACTCAGTGTAGTATAAATTCTTGATACTACATAGTACCTAATAGTACTCTACAACAATACTTCACTTTTCAATCCAGTATTGCTCTACAGTAAACCCTGGAGAATCTGATAAAATACAATTCAGGTAGAGGAAAGACCAGAACTTAGAAATGTGGCGCTGAAGTTTTTGCTTACTGGAATTGCTCGATGTCATAATCTTTCAGTCAGTTTCTCATATCTATCCAAAAACCATACAAAACGTTTGGCCTATAAGGAAGCATTTTCACTAACCTCTAAATAAAATACAATTTTAACTAACTGTTACCTATGCCAGTGACCAGGGAATTATAATCATGAGCTCAAATCATATGCACAGTCCATAACAATATGAAGTAGCAAAGAAGAAAAAAAGATGCAAGTTATCATATGGCCAGTTGCTTTACAAAAGAGATTTTACCTTCCCCAGGTGTGTTCTTTTTCCAAAGAATATGATCTTTTTCTTGTCTTTCAAAAGTCAACGTGATCCCACTGGAACAGCAGACTGGAGTCAAAGCAAGCAATCTAGCAGCAGATACAGAATACCAGTCTTTTTCTCTCACAGCCCATCTCTGACTGAACATGATGTGACTGCAAGGTATCAAGTACCTAGAACAACAGAGCTTTCCATTAACAAACTAAACTAGTACTTTAAGAGTAAGAAGGAAGCTGTCTAAGCCAAGGCAGGGGAAGAAGAAGAAAGAGTACGTATGGATCTGATTTTTTCTAGACCAGACAGCTAGCTGTATGGAAGAAAGCCAAGATGATGTGGGATATACAACCAAAAAAACAAATATGTGCATGTCAGCTTTGAGCTCAATTTTAGCACTGGAAATACATTCCTAAGTTAAATACATGCTCAAAGGCAGTCTTATTACAGAAATTATAAAAGTATGATCCCCAATCCATTTTTGCTCTGGTTCTTGAACGTCAGGTCCTAATGAAAATCAAAGCAGATCCTGTAGGTATGAAGTCTGCCTACCCCTGCTCTGGCCTTTACTCACTCCTTACATGGAACTCTGAAGTTGAGTTTTTGGGTTTTTTAACAGTATAGCTAGCCTATGTCTCCATTTCTTGGAAGCACATCTTAATGTGGTGAAAGAGTTTGAGTGTGTCAGTGAAACTGAGAGCAATGCCATCAGGAAGCCAGACGCCATTATGAGCCTGGAATCCTAGCAGGGTCACCAAAGATAGAATGGTTACAGCTAGGACACCAGACTAAGATGCATTTACCCTCTTCAAGGTAGCTACTGGGCTGATTCACCCTATCTGAAAACAGAAAAGGGAAAAGATAATGGTAGGTTTGGCCACTTAGTTTTACCTCAGCCATCACTGAGATGTAGTTCCCAGATTAGCCAGGGAATAATGCAATTCTCTTTCTCAAAAAGGACAGTCTACAGTGCAGACATACAAACAGTGTGATTCTCCAAGATTTCAGATGAAGCTGTTTCCCAGACATACTGGGATATTCCAGGAACTTGAAACCTTCTACTGTATATGTAAAGCTTGAAGCTATATGCTCTCTCCTACCTAGTTACAGTCTTCCACTCACATCATGAAGCTACAAAAAAGACTGAGTGACTCAGTTGTTAGGCCAGTGTTTTGAACAATGCTAATACATCTTTATTCAATCATCAGATGGTTTGTGGGTTTTTTGGTTTAACAGAGAAATAAAGTTGTTTAATGAAAAAGTTTAGTCACAGGAATATGTCACAAGAAAGCAATCTGACAATTAGTAAGTACAGGAACATTCAATGCATGTTGCATAATTGAGCTACTTAAAAAATAAAATAAGTGAACAGCATAGTATTTTCCAGCAATGAAGTTATAACTGGTCATTAATTAGCCAATACATATATCTCAAGATGTAGAAAGAGCTGTTGAAAGTTATGAACATGAAATTTGTTTCGTTACTCCATAATAGCTATCACTAAAAGGTTATCATTGTGAGATGTTGTGGAGAGCAGACCCACAAAGCTTAAATGGAATATATACCCAGCTTCCCTCTCCATATTTTTGAGAAACAAGGGACATCACTCTGTATGCAGAAGAGTCTCTGCTAATTCAGTCTGAATGAATGCAAATCCTTCCATTTACTATGTTTATGAGAAACCTACTTTAATCCTTCTAAATGACCTATGATTTTTAAACACAATTTTCTTTTTTTTCTTGCTCGTCTCCAGACATTTGAGATTGACAGTAGTTTTCCAGATGTGTGTACATACCAACAGAAATATGTTGATCTTCACCCATTGCAGCAAACAAAAGGCATTTCCCTCCCCTCTACCACTTACAAGTGTGAAGACAATGACAACATCTAGGAAGCAGTTGCAGAATACTAATAAATGGTAAGGAATCTAGACTGCAGTATTTTGAGAGAGAGGGAGTTTGGGTTTACCTTAAAACTAGTTGTAGCATCACATCTTCACAATGCAAGCTGATAAGTGTTCTGAACAATGCCAAAGACACCACACAGAGCTAAGAGAAGATAAACACAGAGAGAATCTATAGCTTGCCGTTTTCTCTGGAGATAAAAATTAATTTTGCAATGCAGAGTAGCACAGAGTTTGACTGTGGTACTTCTGAGAGAAACTAGATTCACATTTTATTTCATTTAGGCAAAATTCCTGAAGAATTTGGTTATCACAATTAATGGTAAGCATAAATGTATTGTCATTTATACAGAAATATTTTAAGCAGCAAAAGAAAGCAAGATTTCCAGTCACTCTAATAGGAGAGAAACTGAAATGTAATTTACCCTACTTCACACCCACACTGTATGGATTATTTCCTCCTACAGATTTGTTCTACAGCCAAATAGGTGTAGAATTCCACAGATGGTACCTTCCCTCCTGTGCAGAAAGGTACACAGCCAAGAAGTTCAGTTTCCATTCAACAGCAGTCTCATAGGGCTGCCTGCAAGGACAGCCACCTAATTCTCAGAGCACAGAACAGACAACGTGACACATGCAGCTCTCTCTTGCTATACCAGGGGATATAGCACTCAAATACACTGGCTGGATCTTAGGGGTCCACCCAAAGTGCTCCCCCAGCATCTGCCACTTGAAACGGTTGTGCCACTCTGTCCAATGATAAGGTCAGCAGTAGGTGCTTTGCCTAGAGTGCTAGCTCAAAATTACATAGAAAGCCATCCTTTCAAGGGTAAACAAGAAAAGCTTCTGGCATTTACAGAAGTTTGGAACGAAAGCTGGCATTTAATTAAAATTCAGCCAGAAATCTTGCTCATCAACAGGACACCACACAAAATTCTACAGAATATTAGTTCTTGCTCTGATGCTGTCATCAGTTGAAGAAGCAAAGTGATCAGAAGCATGAACACAGAGTTCAGAGAAATATGAAATTAGAGAAAAACTCCATTAATTTTAACAATCAGGTAGTTTACTTATTTGATTGAAATGACAGCAAACATTCCATGAGACAAAAGGAAGAGCAAGCAGAAGCATTCATGCATTTTATTCTACAACAAAATTTCCCCGTAATAATACTGTGTAGGGATTTTGCGCTGGTGTAGTATGCTGAAATCTATGGTGCTGGTTTTTATCCTTGGCTACATTATACAGCAGGGAACACATTCGACATCACTGATGCATCTTGGCAGAGCTCCCAAGTTGCTCGTGGCTGGAGAATTCCTCACACTATGTACCCCCCTATCTCTGGAACAAATAATTATGGTTCAGCAGAGACAACATTGGCAAATTGTTAGCTACTGAAGCTGTTTGGGAGTTTTCAGAGTTAATCTGTTTTGGAGTGATAGTTGTAGTAGCAAGTACTGTATTTGTAAACGCATGCACTTCCTACTTGAAAATATTTATTTGGCCCAAGATCTCAGCCTTAATACACAAATTTAATGCACATACTGATCATCTGCCTTTGCCTGTACTCCCATCCATATGCTACTCTGCATTTCACATATGCACAAATGCCTCCTACATCCTTTCTAATAGAGAGTAAGTGCCAGTCCCAAGGGGATCAGGGGAAGGGGGGTGACTTGCTGAAGCAGGTGTTCTTGCTTTCTTCCTGAGATTAACCCAATTGCAAGTGGAAGCCGCTATTACATTAACTATTTCTGTGACATAGTTAGCATGCTACAATTATTTTCAGAAGGGATCTTGCCAGCTCATTCAATACCAGAGAAATATGTCATGCTGCAATGATGAAGGAACTAATCAATCTGGCGGGGTTTATAACATAACATAATTACTACAAAACATCATACAGAGTGACATCACTGTAAATAATAGCATTGTATCAAAGTAAGGGTTTTGTTGCTGCAATGAGCACCACTATATTCAGTTTACCTAAACCAGAAGAGTAAGAAGATAAATCTTGCTTTTTGGGGGAGTATGCAATAACTGTGCTGTTTTCTGCAGAGAGGAAGGATATTACTTTACAAGTTTGTATAGTTTATTCCAAACTATCTAAAAAGACTTTGTCAATAACAATTTATAAAAATCCTATTTATAAGACACATTACCTCTGCTATCATTTAACACTGAGAAAAAAAATGGGAAGGGGAAGTTTCATTAAGGGACAAGGAAAGCACTCCGGACTACTATTCTATTTTATTCGTCTGCAGCCGATTTTGCTGCCGAGTCACTCAATTTGATTGCTGTTTGCATTAATGCAAATTTATTGTTTTAACTCTTCATACAATTAAATTTTATTGCATTTCTATTGTTGCTTCTGCTGTAGTGAGCCAACTGTTTAGTCAAAGGAACATGATATCGAATGAAAATATTAAATATCTAATAATTAAAAAGCATGTTTTTGTTTTCCATCTCACAGTTATAGCTCCGAGACTACAAAATCTCAGTACCTGATGTGGGGTATGCATATGACGTAGACCTTAGTGGTAAACACCTGGAGCAGTGTGTTTTTAAATGCATTAATTAGTTTAAATGATATTAAATGGATCTATGTGTTTGCAACTCTTTAGCATCACTCTCAGTCACTAGATACCAGATGTTCTTGCTCAGGAACCAGAGAGTTTTCAAAAGGTATTTACTTACCAGGAGATGGGTAACAGGAAAGGAGCAAGTGTGGCCTCTCTTATAAGGCCAGTTCATTATAGTAGCCTCCAAGAAGACCCTGTCTCATGTCTCCATTAAAAACACCTATAAAAGGTGTAGATTGTAAGCTTAAAGACAAGGACTTCTGTTTGTTTTTAGGCAATGAGTAAAATGTCACAAACTTCATCCTTTAAACCCAAAGAGATCTAAGAAAGCAAGCTCATTAAGAAGTGAAATACGATTCATATTAAGTAGAACCATGATCATGACATGCTCATCTTTCACAATACTGTAACAACAAATCCCTATTAAAAGATGCCTGCAATTCTACTGCTCTCATCTCACCCGAAATGGAGTGTTTATGCGGCTTGTGAGGGTGTCCAGGATATGCACATTTTCATGGCGGTGCAGCAGGATGAACCGGAGGAAGATCTTGAGTAAAGCAGGCTCTGAAACACTCCGCAAGAAGAGATCCAAGTATGCTGTTGTAGTCATTACCTCTTCTACAGTCACCTAAAAATGATTGCAGACTATATCAAACTTATCTCTTATGCTTGTAATAGGACACATTGGCCATGTCCTGCCCTACAGTTATTATGCACTTGAACTTCATCCCATTGGTGGCAATTTTTGGAAATGAAAGGCTTCCTTCCCAAGGAGTCCCAAAGGCACCTGGTGTATGTTTGTGTGTGGAGCTGGAGATTTTTTTATCTCTAAAAAATTGCAGTGGCTAGTAATGTCATCTTCCCCTTAACTGGCAAAATGTTAATTCCCCACAAATATAATACTTCCTATTAAGTCTACTAGAATCCCATGAGCCATGTTAAAAGCAGTAGGTATACTACCAAGACTTTTCATCTTCTGTACTGAATGTGCACATTTAAGTAGGAGAAGAAAATTGGTAAAATGTGTAAGAATAAATAGTATGCTTTCACAGTTTAAGCCAACATCCCTAAACTGGTTTCACCCTAATTTAGAAGGATTTATTTCCTGTTTAAAGAAGGTTAGCTGGCTAGCTCAATGGGTAGAGCACCATGGGTTAGGAGTTCAATTCTCCAATGTGCCTCCTAGAGAACAGTCATGTGTGTGGCCTTGACAAACTTCGCAGTCCCAGGACATCACAAAAAAGGAGGGACTTATAAACCTCTTCTGAATACAGTGGTGCCTTGCTTTACGATTGCTCCGTTTAATGACAAAACCGCATTACGATGAACTTTTTGTGATCACTTTACGATGTTTCCTATGGGGGAATTTCGCTTTCCGATGATCGGTTCCCTGCTTCGGGAGCGGATTCTTTGCAGAATGATGATTTTCGGACAGCTGATCGGCGGTTTCAAAATGGCCGTCGGGTAAACAAAATAGCCCCCGCTGTTTTCTGGGATGGATTCCTCGCTGCACAGGCAGCGAAAATGGCCGCCCTATGGAGGATCTTCGCTGGACGGTGAGTTTCTAGCCCATCGGAACACATTAAACGGGTTTTAATGCATTTCTATGCGCTTTTTATTTTCGCATTACGATGTTTTCATTCTACAGCGATTTCACTGGAACAAATTAACGTCGTAATGCGAGGCACCACTGTACTTTATAGCAGAAAATTCTGATAAAGATCATAAGGCAGAATCCACTATGCAACACATGACTAGTTTTATGTAAATAAGAACAGAGTCCAAAAGCCAGTTATGCATGCACCATGCCAATAGTTATAGGTAGACACAGAGATATATTAACTGTTATACACATATACATAACAGTTGCGTGTTGGCGTGAATGAGAAAATGTACCCACAATTATTATTATTTATTATTTATTCAATTTATATGTCGCCCACACTACCCAGAGGTCTCTGGGTAGAACCACTGTAGAACCATTCTCTTCCAATACTTAACTCTGTTACAAAACTGTTACCCTGTTTCCCTGAAAAAACGACCTACCCCAAAATCCCTAGTTAAGTGAAAGCCCACCCTCCACCATTGTACAGCAACCAGAAGATGACATGACTGTATTTGAATAAATGTAGATTGTTGTACATGAAAAAAATAAAACATTCCCTGAAAATAAGCCCTAATGCATTTTTTTGAGCAAAAATTAATATAAGACCCTATCTTACTTTTGGGGAAACACAGTATTTGTTTAACACCAGTTTCTGCTATGTAGCACACAGAGGAGACATTGGCTTTAGCAAAATTACATGGGATTTAGAAAAAGCCTGCACACTTTTAAAAAACTTTCCTGTCTCTACACTGCCCCACATTTCTTGTCAATTGGAGTGAATATTTGGATTTCAGTTCAATGGACACAAAAGATATGCATTTCCATTCTCTGCTGTAGAAGGTAAAGATCCACAAGCACAATTTGTCATAAGACAGGTGGGGGTTTCCTTGCAATTCTCAGTCCCTGGATTATTCTACTATTTTTCCCCATCTGGGTACTAAACAAGAGATAATTGAAGTTGAATATTGCAGGCCTATCTATAAAAAGCAGCTAGTCTTCACTGAAAAATATGCCAGCCAATTTTATTTCAAATTAACTGTAGATACCAATAGTACCTGCTTCTAAATGTAAAACAAATTTATCCAGAGGTAAAAAACAGCTGGTACACCAGAGGTACACACCCGTTGGAAATTTCCAGTTATACCACAGCACCTGGCAGTGGATGTTTGTGCCTTTCATAGCACAAAGCAGTGGGGAGACACAGAAGGAGCCTCCCCGAAGAGTGGGAAAGCACGGTGAGTACACGCAGGTATCTCCTGGGGAATGGTGTGCAGCTGACAAATCCTTCACTTCTAGAAGTGCTGCACCAAAACAGCACCAATCCCACTCATTGTAATTGGCAAGAGTGCAAACTCGGTGTCTTCAGAAATAGTTATATGTGAGTTTAATAAGGTTAAAAGTGCAGATACATGTGTCTGCCTACATCAAAAGAAGCATTAACTATCCTTTGTTTACTATTCTTCACTAGGTAAATGAGGAGAGGTATTTTAATATTTCTCCTTAAGAAAAAATATTCCATGCTGTCACTTACTAAGAGGATTTGGGAAGTATTCCAATGGATGGTATTTGCATAAATTGCTGCAAATTATTTTTAAAGTCTAGCGCATCAGCTGAATATGAAGGGACGCCCTGTCACACAATTTTTCCTGATAAACATTTTTTTCGACTGTACTCAAAAGCATACAACTTTTTCTAATAGTAGCCTCTTGCCACTTAAATAAATGAAATGGCTTCTTAACACTTTCTACTTCTGTCCATATTTATGTATTAAATGACATCTAACTACTAATTTATAGAATTCAAACATTCACACAAATTAGTGCTATCTCCACACAGCCATAAAGATAGAGCTTAGAGCACTGGTTTTAAAATAAATAACTAGTATTCAACATTACAAATTACTTTAAAAGTGAAACAATTTAATCCTTTGAACACTGGGCTTTGCAAGGCATTGCAGACTCCTTCAAAAGTCCTCTTTTTGTTGTTTTAATTCTTCCCTAATCTCACACATTTTTCTAAACAGATCAGAAATCCTATCATAAAATTGCTAACTAGGGATGATAGGATCAACATGTCTGAAAACTCTGAGCTATGGAAGGCTATCTGTCCTGAACAAATGATTTTATTTCCCTGTCCCTGAGGGAATGATGCCCACTCAATAATTCTGAGCCAGTAATTCCTTGATCCAGGGCAGATTTGAGTTTAATCAGATTGATTCATATCATGATTTAAATTTTTAAGATTGTATTTTTTATAATTTAAATTAAAAAAATCAAAATTTGATTCAAATCTTGATTTAAATTGTGTTATTGATTTTTATCCACCCTGTCTTGAGAATCTTTGCACAGACTTATTAAGCACAACATTATAGGCAGTACTGCTGAAAGTACAGTACTACTGTATTTCCCCAAAAATAAGACAGAGTCTTATATTATTTTTTGCTCCAAAAAACACATTCGGGCTTATTTTCAGAGGATGTTTTATTTTTTTTCATGTACAACAATCTACATTTATTCAAATGCAGTCATGTCATCTTCTGGTTGCTGCACCATGATGGAGAGCAGGGGTTCACTCAACTGGGGCTTATTTTGGGGGTAGGGCTTATATTACGAGCATCCTGAAAAATCATACTAGGGCATATTTTCAGGTTAGGTCTTATTTTTAGGGAAACAAGGTAGATTGTTAAGAAAAATCTCTTCAACTGCCTTTCAGGCTCTCCTGTAGAACTGTTCAAGAACTGTTCAAGCCACAGCAACAAACAGACTCATAATATTCCATGAAAATGCTTTTAGAATGTTGTATTTTAAGCAAAACCAGCTCCTGATCTTACTAGAAAATGAAGGTGGAATGCTGTGCATGGCCTCCATCCTAAGAAGATCTCTCTTGTAGGATAGTTTTTTTTTCTGTGAACGACTGTTAAAATTAAGACAGTCAACCATACAGCTTGCATGTCTCTGTATTCCATGTACTGCAAATTACATAATCCGCATTTTGAACTCAAAGATGGTAGACAATTAAAACAAGACAAATGCTTATAAAAGCAGCTCACTTTTACAGAAAAAATAAAGCTACAAATACCAAAAACACAACCTGGTCACCATACAGTTACAAAACAAATAACTTCAGTCTCTAGGGCAACAGCTATAGGCCTCTCTTTTTCCATTCCAGTAAAATAAATTTTTTTAAAAAGGAAAGGGAAAAAAAAACCAAAGAAACAACTCATGTATTCTGTATTTTTCACATACTAGATCTGCAATCTCCAGTAATACTTTATTTACATGGCCTGAGCAGCCAATTCCTGAACATGCTTACGTGCAACCTTGATTTTGACAATAACAAAGAAATGAGAAGTGATCAGCTCCTAGACTTAGAGTGCCTAACACTTTACAATGCACAACCGACTTAGCTCATTAACTGCCCAGCCACAATTATTTTTTAAAATATAAATAAAATCTTTCAAAATGTTGCAGTTCTGGTTGAATTTTGTTTGAATGTTTACAATTGCCAGGTCCAACACTTGAGCCATTAACTGAAGCTGTATTAATCACAACTCCCACTGTATTTGTTTACTGCCTCCATGTCACATGATTTCAGAAGGGTCAGTAAGGCTGCAGATGGCTGGCACCTGGGTAGAAGACCAAAGAGGAATAGCAGGGATCCTGAGGCAGGCCTAAGAATTACTCCTGCTTGACACTCAAGACAGTCTCTGCAAGTCAGAGTAAACAATACTGGGATAGATGGACCTACAGTTTGACTCCAGAGAAAGATGCAGTTTGCCTCCCTTGCAAGCCTCATCAGAAAATTTTCCAAAAATTCATTTACAAAATCATAATGTTTTAGCAGCCTTAAAGAACACAGGGCAGCAGCCAATGCAATTACCACAAGCTGGAAAGATGAGCTGACGTTGCAGGCTGAATGTTCAGAGAAAGGTTCATGTCTTTACTTCCACATGCATACCATCTGATTAAGCACAATATTAAACAGTAAGAGATTTTTAATACTCTCCCCCCTCTCTCTCTATC